CAGAAAATACTAGATACCGATCGATGTAAATACATTGGTATTATTTTCCTTGCGTCGATAACCCTCAATGCTGGGTCGTGGCCTCCTTAAATAACTTTCTCCTGGATTATCCTGCGCCATTCTTGCCCATCCACGGCTGAGCGGATGGTAATGTCGACTGAAGTGTTGAGAGTAGAGAGTATCTGTACCGACCAGTACATTTGACTTCTGCTTCTGGCCTTCTTCCGCATACCTTGTACATTGGTTTAATACTCCAAAACCCCACGCCTCTTTTTACAATAAAATATTTTTTTCTTACACAATTTTTAATTTAAAGTTATTAAAATGTATTTTCTATTTTTTAGTTGCATTTTCTATAAAAGCGTATTTTGTTAGTTTTTGTTAAACTTAATTTATTTTGCATTTTTAGTTGAATTTAAACTTTTTCAATATTTTTTTAAATATTGAATTGTCATCGGTCCTTTATACCAAATTTCGAGTTAATCCGACGTTTTGAAGGGGATCAAAATAATTTTCAAAGTTTTCGTTACATACTAACATACATACGTCTGAAGCTAATAAAAGCGTATTAAAAACAAAATATTTCGTTACGAAAGCTACCCAACAATTTAATGATGTTTATTTTAGTTTATCTAAGTTTGAAGAGAGTTTCCCAAGGTAAGAAGAAGTTGTTTATAGATCGTAAAATAGTAATTAGAAACCTGACTTTGCTTTATTCGTTTTCTGTCTGATCCGCTACTACAGAAAGGGGGATAAGTTTTCTTTGAAACTTAATAAAAAGATTTCAGTGAAATACTGGAAGTGCTCTTTCTCTGTTCTAACTACTTTCATGATAGAAGTTGTATTGTGAGGAGGCCCGATCACTGCCTACCCCCGGCATATTGGATACGATACTTTATCTATACATTTATTATGAGCTCTTGTTTTTTTTGAATCTTTCAAAATAGTGAAGGTGTAGAGGGAGAAGAAAAATCTGCACTTGAGTTCAAGGCAGATGTTTCAAGGAAATAAAAAGCAAAGTATACTTACTTAGTCTTTTTTTTTTTTTTTTTTTTANGGCGGGCGACGCGGCGATTTATTTTAGGGGCTCGGGGGCATCCGCGGTAATTTGCGGGGTGACCCTGTGTTCGACACAGGACGCAGCTAGGCGGTTCCGTCGCGGTTTTTTGATCGCGAGTGCATAGGGCCGTGGCGTGATCGCCTAAACACTTGACGCATCGGGGGCGCGCGTGACAGTTACGGGAAGAATGCCCGTATAATTGGCAGTTATGGCACTGACTAGGTATGCCTTTCTTGTGTGGGGTTTCGACTGCGATTCCGGAAAGGCTACAGACCGTTCGGATGTTGAATATTTGCTTACCCTCGGGGGTAGGCTGGAGGGCGACGAGAACCATATTATATGGCTCCCTTTCGCGGCCTGTGTGCATGCGGTGTACGGAGTTAACCGGTAGGCCTTGTTCGAGAAGGTCGGCCTTGACGAGCTCGGCATCCAACTCTTTAGGGATGCCACGTATAACGGCACGGAGTTCGCGCTCCTCCTGGAGCGTATATGTGTGGAACTTAGTCATATGCGCCTTAAACTCGCCTGCAATTATCGAGAATAAAAAGTGATTTCTTGACATTAGTTTGGGATTATAATTCAAAAATTTATTTTATCTGTAGCTGTATGGCTTATTGTGGCCGTCTTCACACCTAAATAATATTTTTTACATTTGAACTTAGAAGGTTATTTGAGAGTCACTACGTACCTAAGTCCCGGACCAATTCCAGGATTAAGTCAGCCATTATTTGCGTGATTGAGTAACAAACAATACAATCCACTGTGTTTGTACCCATAGACACAGTCCACTGAGTTTCTCGCCGGGTCTTGTCAGTGGCTAGCGATTCCGAACGGATAAAAGATTCTGCGAAGCATTGCTCCTGTTAGGGCTAATGTTAGCAAATTGTTTCAAGTAGAGTTCGTGAGCCCACCCACCCGTCCTCGCGTACCTGAAATAGCCTCTTAGACTACCAGTGAATATGTAGGGAAAAAAGTATGTCTGCACATTGCAGAATATTGATAAAAATAGAAAATGTTACGTTTGTAAACAAAATATGTTACCAAAAAAGATATCGTTATTCAAAAATTTTTAGAATTAACTATAACACTTTTAGCTATAACACTATTATAAAGCTGCTACGCATTCTTTGGACAGCTATGAGAACCAATGTCTCCATCCTCGAAGAGCTGAAGGTCACCAAGCGCCTGCTGACTACGTGCCAGGAAAGGATCCAGAGTTTCTTTGGGCACATAATGCGATCCCCATTGCACAACCTGCAGAAACTCATCATTCTCGAACAAATGGAGGGGAAGCGCGTTAGAGGAAGAGCGCCAGTTAGATGGGTGGACCAACTCAAGGAGGTGACTGGGGGCCAAATACAGGGAGCGGTACATATGGCGCAGAGCCGGACCGAGTGGAGAAGATTGACATACAGTTACGATCCTCAGCATTACGGGAACGACCAGAAAGAAAGGAAGAAAGAAAGAAAGATAACGCTATTAGATACTAAAATTACATGGCAAAAAAAAACAGCCGTGCATTGATTCACACATTCGATCTTGCTTCGAATTCCGTTTGCTTCAGTATCAATACACAACATGCTCCTCTCCTTTTAAAAATACACGTGCGACTGTAATTCCCAAAACGAGACATTCCGATTCCGAGAAATCGTAGTCTCGTTTAGATTCAAACTTCGTTTCTGTAAATTGAGTTCATTAAACTGTCTTTGTGACTGTAAGATAAGATTGAACGGTAAAATTGGCTATATCTTAAAACTCTTTACTCAAGTCGAACTGATTGTTCTATTTAGTTTGTGTTTTAGAGAAACATTGATTCTTTGTGCTCCAGAGCTCCAAAGTTTGATTTTCTTTTAAATTATGGCACTTAGGAAAGTTAGGAGAGTTCGGTCGAATTACTTAGCATGATTGGATTATTGATTATGAATAAAACTCTTGTTTCAAAACCTTAAAAAAATAATGATGTAGGAATAAGCTCCCTGCCCATATTATGGTGCTTACCGAAACCAAAAGACATGAAAACGTGATTGCCGCAACATATTTTAAGACAGGAGATTGAAAGCTGAAAAAATAAATAATAGTTTAAAAAAAACTAACAAAATACGCTTTTATAGAAAAACCAACTAAAAAATAGAAAATAAATTTTAATAAATTTGAATTAAAAATAGTGTAAGAAAAAATGATTTTATTGTAAAAAAAGCGTGGGATGCTTTTCAGGATATTATCAAAACAACCCTTCTACTCATATCTGTTCATAAAAAAATTATAAGTACTGATACCATGCACCCCACGCTTTTATTTAATTTATAGTTGGATTTTCTATAAAAACGTATTTTGTTAGTTTTTTTAACCTATTTTTTATTTTTTAGTCGAATTTCTAAGCTAAGCTTGAAGTCTGAAGCTTATATAAGCGAATTAAAAAGGCTGTCGCGCTCTTCAAACCGAAACTCGTTACTGGCTCGCGGCAGAAGTGGGCCTACCATATCTGCCCGTTTTAGCTTCCAATACGCCCCACCATAAGAAAATGCCTCTTGGGGATCGCTGTACGCTAGTACTCCGAGAAAACTGCAGCCTATTTATTCTCTGATGAATCCCTAAATCGCCTTTTACCACAATTTCCCCTTACTGTGGCTTTTTCAATGTTTATCATACTTATCTTACCATATTATGTACCTATGGTATACACCTACTGATAGTGGTAACTGGAGTCCATAGACATCTACAACGTAAATGCGCCACCCACCTTGAGATATAGTTCTAAGGTCTCAGTATAGTTACAACTAAACGGCTGTCCCGCCCTTCAAACCGAAACGCATTGCTGCTTCACGGTAGAAATAGGCGGGGTGGTGGTACCTACCAGTGCGGACTCATAAGAGGTCCTACCACCAGTATTTTCTTATTCGAGGAAATACATATCCTTTTGATTTATAATACAAACATTTAATTACGGTTTTAAATATCGCAGCGATATACCAGGCTCTATGCGATTAGCTGTTTCCTATGCATTTTTAATGCGCTACCAACCATAACGTTCATAAAAGTTACAACTATAATTTAAATATGTTAAAGCGCTTTTTCTAAGGCACGAACGCTTCTACAGGTACACTTTACGATGGACTTGAGGATACGGTAAAGATCCGACCACATGAACGAGGGTTCGTAGCGTTTATACTGATTGTTTGCGATGATCCCGTCTTGAATCTGCGGAGTGACTATTGCTGATGTAGCGCGAATAGCTACATCTTGTGTGCAATTGGGAAATGGTTCAAATTATGCGATGCGATGTGCTGACAGTAGGATAATTTTAGTGGCGCAATGAAGATGGGAAAACACAGTTTGATTCAAAGAATTTTTATTTTTATTTTTTAGACATCTACAAAGTAAATGCCGCCACCCACCTTGAGATATGAGATCTAAGGTCTCAGAATAGTTACAATGGCTGCCTCGCCCTTTAAACCGAAATGCATTACTGCTACACGGCAGAAATAGGCAGGATGGTGGTACCTTCGCCTGCGGACTCACAAGAGTTCCTACCAGTAATTACGCAAATTATACCACCTACCTAAATTACCTATATTAATATATTAATACAATGCTCATGACTCATTGATATTCTCCAAACCATCATTCTCTCCAACGATAGGGTTCTTAATGGTTTCTCAGCGGCGAATGTGAGTCGAGCACTTCACAATATTAAAGAAAGTTCTGGTATGATTCGATACTTGTAGTAAAAAGCGGGTAAATTTAGATAATTTTGGTGTGTTGTGCATGAAGAAGCGGCAATACGAACGGGACGTGCGTGGCTTACAAAATCAAAGTTACGTTCTTCTGTGAATCGCTTCTGAGATTCTTACACCTTCAAGGAAGATTCACTGGATCCCAAAGAGGTGGCATCGCAAGGGCTTGAACACTAAATTCAAAACTGTATTGGAAAAAAAAAATGTGTGTGTGTGCAAATTGAAAATCACACATGGTAGAAGTGAAACTTATAAAAAATAAAAATAATCGCAAGGGTCTATCACTCCGTAGTGCAATGGAGCAGCCTCACCCTGAGGGAACCGCCTGCATGATCACGGTATCCCTGCGCCAAGTACGTATGATTTAGCACGAGAAATGCGAAAAGTCTATCAAATGTGTAACATCTCATCACCGCGATTCAGGAACTGTTGAATTTACGTACAGCGACATCTGTTGATAACAAACTTAATAGAAATAAAAGTATCTCAGGGCGCTCCGAGAGCCACTACAGCGTGCATGGATTTCAAAAACACACTGAACTAGTCGGGGACGCGAGACCGTGTGGAGCGCTTCGTGATTTGTCGGCGCCGCTCGGAGCCGCTTCGGTAAGCCAATCGCGGCACACTTATTTTTTCGTTTCGTTTCATTTCGTTTCATCGAGTTTGAAATCACAACGATTCTAAAGAAGTTTCACTTCAATAAAAGCGCTCACGCTGTTACATTTGTAAATTTAGCTATCACGGAATACTCGTTTAAGATATTTGATAGATAACTGAATCTGACTGTCAGAATTTACATAGATACGTTTGCACATATACAACTGTTCCAAACAAAACCATTCAGATCGTCCATTTGCCGAGCAATTTCTTTTTCCCTTTACCGATCTTCCTTTTGCCGTTTCTCCCAAAAAGCTAAACATCAGCGTGGTGATCATCAACCCATTTAACAATCTCCTTGTTTATAAGACAGTGTGTTAGAGAAATAAGCTCGCGTCAATCTGTAGGCGGTTCTTGGAGCCTAGGACACGGTAACGTTTATGACTTTGCAGATTAAAACCTCATTTAAATCGAGATAATTAGTACCTACTTAAAAACTCAAATTGTAGCACGCAAAAAAAACGCGCCATAATTAGGACCTTTTGCCTTTCTGCATAAAACAAAATAGGGTTGGCAGCGCCAAAGTAAATACTAAAATAGATAATTGACTAATACTAAAATAAACCCCGCAAATATAATGAAACTTTTCGGTTTTATCTTATGTAAATTATGCTTGGGTTCTCGATAATAAAGATCGGAATGTGTGTTCGGAATTTAAAGCTAGCACAGTTTGCCGTCCATTAGGGAACAGTGACCGCAGTGGAAACTTTTAAAAACTTAAACGTCTGGACTCGTACTGAAATATTCGTTAAGTTCCTTGAAAGTAAGTTTGCTTCAAAGGGTATTAATTACTCTAACATTAATCACCTTAGCATCAGTGACCGAATAGCATGAACCATTAAAAACATTGCTACGAGCTGGGGCTCAGGATAAATAAAACTCTTCACTGAGATACCAATTAAAAATTCGTTTTATTATATACGGAATTGAAGGTAGACTTCACTACCACGATTCAAATTTTCTGTTCTGTACAAAACTAACCACCTTCATGACGCCTAATATATGTTTCTATCGTTACGACTATGTCTACAATTCACTAGAACCTTCTCGATAGAACTAGAAAATTCGAGAATGTTCTAATTGTTACCGGCATAGTAATATCAATGAATAACGTATAAGCTATCAGATTAACTACATATTACATTGCATCAAATTGATTAATGCTAATAAAATATTTATGATTATTACTTTATTTTGACAGGTACACTTAACATCTTACCAGCATTCTTAAGTCTCGTAATCATAGTGCTTGCAAAACACTAGCATTCGATTACAAAAACAAATCAATTATAATACAAAAACAATCATCCATTATTTTATTATTTTATTCCCGTTACATAACTACTAGCATTGTAGGTAGCTGCGAAAGTCTAAAACAATTCGGAAACTATTTATAGGTAAGACCAGTAACATTCTTTGAGAGCCAGATTTCTATTTAGTATTCTCTTGGGTGTTCGTCGGTTGTAAGTTATGATTGAACTACTTTTAGGGTCATTCCGGCGTTTACTATTTTCGCGTAATGTTTTTCGCAGCAAATACGAGGGTAGTGAACAGAATATTGTATTCTCGACAAATATCACTTAGTCGTCCATGATCAAGAAAGCTGTAAAGCACTCGAAGCGTCCCAAAAACATAACTTAAAATAACCGAAGTTAAACTGTGAAAGTAGTTTAAATTTATATGTTTTGTGTGTTTTATTTGAATTCATAGCATTTGGCAAACGTTTTTAATTCACGGAATAATCGATTTTAGGGTTTTACACTCGATAATACGCATTTAAAATTACGATCTTGCTTTTCAAAGTTGCTTTGTTAATCGCTAGTATGGTTATTCATTCATCAGCGAATCACACTAATGTTCTTTAACAAATTAAAAATATTTTTCTTATAATATATTTTCGGAGTGTATTTGCAATCCAATAATCCGATATAATAGAACCGCATTCGTTGACACCGGCACATTCGATCCAACCAGTGATATTTCAAAATGCAATAAGCTGAGACAGGGAGAGGTAATTAACTAAACGTGACCAGAGTGTTCATTGTGTGGCGACCACATTTCACGTCGCGACTGACAACTTGATGAATTAACGAATCACTTATTTCAGTCGTGTGTAACTTGATAGCGGGTAGCGAGACATAGCGACCGGCGAATAGACTAACCAAATTTTATAGATACTCGTGTGGGTAGTTACAATAATCACTCCATAGTATAAAACAAAGTCGCTTTCTCTGTCCCTATGTATGCTTAAATCTTTAAAACTACGCAACGGATTTTGATGCGGTTTTTTTTATTGATAGGGTGGTTGAAGAGGAAGGTTTATATGTATAATAACATCCATTAAATAGTGGAGAAATCAATAATAAATTACAGTTTCCGAAGCGAAGCGAGGGCGGGTCGCTAGTACTGTATACACTGAGGCGAAGTTCTGATCCGAAATTTGGGAGAGCCGATATACTTAAATTAATGTTACAAGGTCGGTAGCTACATTCGCGTTGTGACGTCACTACGCTCCAGGATGGGAGAACCGGTAAACTTAAATTAATGTTTCAAAGTCAGTAGCAACACTTACAGCAACATTTACATTGTGACGTCACACTTCACAAGAAAAACTTAGCTCATTATTCCTGTGGCAATTAGTTACAGTTATGTAACTTTTTTCTATGACCCACAACAATTACAGATATTTAATAGCTTTGTTATGTGTAAAATATACTGTAATGTCGTTATACAAAATATGTATTATCTAGTTTATTCTAATATTATCATAAATTAGGAATATTCTAGAAATTCAATGCATACAAATACTATCCATTTCTTATTGTCCTCTGTGAGTCAATTCTATGAGTCACTATGAAACACCGATCGCGGTAGCTGGTATAGAACTAGAATTAGAAAGAACAAGAAATAAAAAAACAGATCAAAGTATATTTAGAACTGAATACAAAACTTGTAATTACTTAATCATCGACATGATAGTACAGTAGCTATATACAACTAGTGTAAACACGTAAATAAGTAAGTATTAGCCCCAAAAGTTGTGTATTCTTGACCAGTGCCTAATAGTGTTATACTTTTCGTCTAAGTTGTGTGTTACAGATGGTCGAGAACTTTTGTGATACGCTTAACTTGTACGCGTGTCTTGGTTTTATTTTATAAATGAACGTTGTCTTTGGAAGAATGTTCTTCTGTAGGGTCTTCCAATCCAAGTGGTTCCATTTTGATTTGTAAAAAAAATGAATTTTGAGTGAAATCATCGGATCTTAGTTCACTTGTAAAGAAGAGGATATTATGTATCTTTAATAATGGAAAAGTAATATCAGCCAAATGCCTCTGTAGCCTCTGACTTGGCTACACTCACTGAGCCATATTCATTATTTTCATGAAATTATTTTATTTTCATGAATTATTTTCATCACCGATTTGGACATTTGCTGTTGTACGTTTCCGAGAACTACACGAATTCCATCTTTAAGGTCTTGAATTGACTATGCGCTATTGCCCATATGTAATCACCATAATGCCTATCGAAAGTTGGAAATAGTATTTTAAGTTATTTACAATAAAAATACAATCTGAAACAGACGTCGAAATCCGACATATAACAAAAAAAATGCAGGTATTTTCTCGTATATTATGAGCTCGCTAGTCTTTTATCTAATTGGTTTTGAACAAATTTTTGTTCAAAAAAATTATACATGCAGCTATACAGGTATATTGTTGCAAAGAATTAAAGTTACACTGTAATTTCGGCGCTCTCCTCCAAAATTGTAATTAAACATTGTATTCCTGTTGATTCTTGTCTTTCATATAAACAAAGAAATTAATTAAGCTTATTTAGCTAGGTACAATGCGGGATATAGATACCAGGAAGTTGCTTTGTGTTGGATGCTATTTTACTAAACAATGAGAACAATTTTGGTTAAATTTTGGTGGTATTTTTAGAACTTATCGAACTTTTATAGTTAGATTATTTAACACTTCCATTGCTAAATCATCGTTATTGTTACTACGACTTTTTGGAATTACATTAATTTTAACGTTTGCACCAATTAGATCAATTGTTAAAGCGCGCCCTAACAGATTCGAATGTTGCATTTGTTTCGTTTGGTAAGTAATTCTTATTATTTAAATGAAATACTGTGAACTCGGTACGAATGTAAGATAAAGCAATTGTGCAGTAAGTATATTTCGTTGTCATTGATAGTTTTTTAGAGTGATAAAATGTTGGTTTTTCTTTTCAGCTCAAGGACGTCCACTGCAGCTGAGTATAGGACCCCCCAAGGTTCTTCACAATAACGGGGCTTGCGCAGCCTGCATCCAGTGGATTCCCGCGATTTTTCGCCAACGTTTACGCCACGTGCAGCAAAGCTACGCAACTTGTTGGAAAGCAATGCCACGTGTAGCAAGGCTACATCCCATATGCCAAAGCAACACCGCGTGTTGGGAGGCAACGACACGTGCGGCAAATCCTCGCAAACAATTTTTAAAGCCACGCCACGTGTAGCAAGACTATGCCACGTGTTGCAAATCAATGCAACTTGTTGGAAATCCACGCCACGTTTAGCAAAGCTACGCAACTTATTGATTAGCAGCACAACGTGTAGCAAGACTACGCCACGTATTGCAAATCAATACAACTTGTTGGAAATCCACGCCGCGTGTAGCAAAGCTACGCATCTTGTTAGAAAACAACGCCACGTG